CGGCGGCGGCGGCGGCGGCGGCGGCGGCGCGGGCATGGGCGGGAGGCCGCCTCCCCCCCCTCCCCCGAATGGCGTGCCGCTGCAGCCGGCGCCAACCTCGTACGCGCCTCCGCCGACGGCGGTGAAGGCGGCGGCGAGCACGGATCTGGGCGGCTGGGGAGATGACGATCTCGGCAACGCCTTCTCCAGTCCCGCGCCGGCGAGCAAGCCGCCGCCGAAGCCCGCTTGCGGCGGCGTGGCGGCGGGCGGCGCGGCGGGCGGCGCCAAGCCGGCGGGAGGCAGCGGCGACTTTGTCGCGTCGAAGCCGAAGCCGGCAGCCGCGGACCCGTTTGCGTCGCTCAGCCTCGGGGGGCCCAAGGCGGCGGCGGCGGCGACGTCGAGCGGCGGGATCGGAGCCCTGAAGGCGCCCGCTCCGGCGCCGATGGGCGGCGGGATGGGCGGGATGGGCGGCAGCATGGGAGGGATGGGCGGGATGGGCGGGAGTGGCGGCGTGGGGAGGAGCGGAGCGGGCGGGATGGGAGGGATGGGAGGGATGGGAGGGATGGGCGGGCAAATGGGAGGAGCGAGGCCGATGGGCGCGACGAGCGGGCCAATGGGCGGCGGGCCCATGGGCGGCCCCATGAGCGGGTCGATGGGGCAGATGGGGTGCGGCTGCGGGCGATCGGTTGCCGCGCGTTGTGAACAGCGTCTCTTCACACGTACAGCTGTGAACAGGTGCGGCCCGATGGGCGGCGGCCCGATGGGGGCAGCCGCGCCGAGCGGCGGCAACATGATGAACTTCGGGTCTGCCGCCGCCAAGCCGCCAAACGCCTTCGATTCGCTCGACCCGCTGGCTATGATGGCCGCTGGCAAACCAAAGAAGGCTGGCGGTGCGATAGCGGCGAAGAAGTCGAATGACGACTGGGGCGACAACCCGTGGTAGCTGCGAGGGACTTGTGAGTTGGTCTATGCCCCAGATCGAGATCTCTCTCTTGCAAGTGTTGCGAATGCGGCGTTGCACGGCTGTATCTCATTGGCGTGTGGGTGGGGGCCCGTGAGCCGTATGTGCACTGCGGGTGTCTCGCTCACGAACACCTTCTGAGCCACACCACGCCGCATGAACACGCCAAACAAAATTGTGCCCTATTTTATGTAGCCTATGTGCGTCTCGTGTCTCTCGTCTACAGACACCGAAGTTTGCAAAAGAAATCGTGATGCAGTGCCGGGTCGGGTGCGCGTGCGGCGGAGAGTGTGGGAGAGCGAGAGGCCGCCCGAAGTGCTCAGCGTGCTCAGTGGAGAGCGTCGGCTCCACGACCGAGACACAGACCACGACCCACGTGGCGGCGGCGGCGTGCGCGTGTTTTGCGCGTGCTGAGATTCATCCTCACAGCTCATCGCGACTCCGGGCCGCAGCATGGTCGTACGTCGCGGTGGCGGAGGCGTCCGTCTCACTATCCCACGCGCCCCGCCCCGCGAGCAGGTTCTCGACCGTGACGCGGAGGTGCTCCTCCATCGTCGTCGCGCTGTACAGGGCGGGCGACTCGGGCGTGACGAACTCCTCCATCGGCGCGATGCGTGTGTGCGCCGCCAGCGCGCAGAAGCGGATGATCGAGTAGCGCTCGCCGCCTCCCGCGCCGTCGAGCGGCACGCGGTGCGGCGTCGCGCGCAACACGCCATTCGTCATCCTCTCGAGAACGTCGCCTGCGGACGTGTCGCGGACGCGTCGCGGACGTGTGAGTGCGCGCTGCCGCCGCTCCGCTCGAGCGCAGCGCTCGCCGAGGATGACCACAAGCGCGTCGGGCCGCACCGGCGCCACCGCCCACCGTCCAGACACGTCGCGCAGCTCGAGCCCTTCTGCGCTCTGGTGCATGAGTGTCAGCGCCTCGTAGTCGGTGTGGGCCTACTCACTCACTAGCTATTGAATCAATCATCACTCACTAGTTAATCTCACCTCGGAGTCGGTTGTGGGCCCCGATCCCGACGTGCGGGCCGCCGCCGCCGACACCGTCGCCGCCGCCGCTGGCACCATCGCCGCCGCCGCCGACACCATCGCCGCCGCCGCTGGCACCATCGCCGCCGCCGCCGACACCATCGCCGCCGCCGCTGGCACCATCGCCGCCGCCGCCGACACCATCGCCGCCGCCGCTGGCACCATCGCCGCCGCCGCCGACACCATCGCCGCCGCCGACGCCGCTGATGTTGCGGGCGGCCGCCTCGGATGCGGGCGGGTACCGCATCAGCCGCACCGTGCCGAGCTCGCCGTCGGCAAGGTGGCGCGTGAAGGCGTCCGGCGGAAGGCCGAGCACCTGCGAGAAGGTTCCGAGAAGGCTCGGGGAAGGCTCCGCACGCGCGCCTCCTGTCGAGTGGCGCCGAGACCTCGCCAATCGCCTCGAGCAGCGCCGCCGCGAGCGTCTGCTGCCGGTCGTACAGGTCGCCCACCACATCCTCGAACCGCGGTGAGAGCAGCTCGGGGCCTGGGTACTTTCCGCTGCCGCCGCCCTCGTCGCCGCCGCCGCTGCCTCCAGCCGAGGCCGGCGAGCCGGCGCACTGGGCCGCGACAAAGGCGTTTGGCTCGCGTGAGTAGTCCCACGCCCGGAGGGATGGCAGCTTGCCAAGCTCGTGTACGTTGCCCAGCACGCCGGCGTCGGGGCCGGTGTAACCGCCGTGCGGCCGTGAGTGGCGTCGCTTGACGGCCGGTGGGAGCGCGTGTGCCCGCCTGCTAAAGTTGTACATGCTCGCGATGTACGACTCGTTGAAGAGCTCGCCGACTCCAGCGCAGGCCGCGGGTCACGATCGCATCTCGGAGGTCATCGAGCGCCGCGGTGCGAGGCGCGAGATCGTCCCTCAGTAGCGAGCCGCAATCGACGGTCGGCCAGGTGGAGGAGCTGGCGTCGACCGTGGAGGCGAGAAGGGTCAATGGAAGCATGGTGGCTGGGGGTGCGGCCAGCTGGGCGCGGCGGGCGGCGGTCAGCGACTGGGGGCGCGTTTTTTTTCCGGGGTACATGTCGGTCCGAATGGATTTCGACCCTCGAACAACGGGATGTTGGGCCCAGGCGTGTACGTCAGCCAGGACATCAACAAGGCGCGCCCATATGGCGATGGCACCATCCTCACGGTGAGTGTCAACACCGGCGTCGTCAAGATGATCACCAGGCCGCAAGATCGAGACGGCACGTGGCAGTTGGCGGTATGTACCATATAGCGCGTGGGTGAAGCCGGGTGTTCAGCCGAGCGGCGAGGAGCACTGTGTGCGCGACTCGCGGCGAATCAAGGTGCTCAAGGTAGGTGATAAAAAGCGGCTGATGGACGCCCTCCTGCCCCCCCGGCAATCGATCAGACGTGGACGGATTGGGCACAAAAACGCGGAGGACAAATGATACGGCTCATCAGCACACGCACATGCACATGCACATGCACAAGTGTCAAGTTCATGATCTTTGTTGGTGACCTTTTGCTCGGGTCAAAACGTATCGAGGCCATGGATTTCTGCATACTTTTATTTACATGTACATGTAGATCCGCTTTCGTGATCTTTGTTGGTGACCTTATGCAGTCAGCCAGTCAGTCATGCAGTCAGTCTTACCGTCACCTCGTAGCACCGAGGACGGGCCCACACGCACACAGGTGACCTTTGCTCGGGTGTCAAAACGTATCGAGGCTTTAATACGTTGCGTTCACGACTGTCCGTGCGTGTGATCTGGGCCCGGAGATGTGCTTTGTGTGAACGAAAAACTTGATGTCAAAAAGGATACGCCGGCGGCGCGACCGCATTCCCCGCATCCGGTCCGATGCACGAACTGATGACTAAATTGAGACTCTCTGTGTCTTATCTCGACTTGCACTCTCAACTCGCTGAGGGCAGTCGACACAACTCCCGGTGCGCCATGGCCTCCGTTGCAGTGGCGGTGCGGGCTGCAGGGGGCGGCCCTCAACGTGTGGCCAGAGTGATCGCAGCTCCCTCTAGGGAGGAGACTGGAGAGGAGTGCGCTGAGGGCTGTAGATCCTGTGGCCTTGGGCCCTGCGGCGGCCTCTCTCTCGAGGTCTCGAGATTACAAAGCGGCCAAGGCCAATTTGACAATGTTCGACTTTTAGCCCCCCGCTACCCGGTTGCACTCGTGCGACGTAGCGTAGGGGCACAACTACGTTTACGAAAACATAAGTAGTCCCGCGAGGTGTGAATTGGCCGCCCCAGTAGCCCCCTATTCCAATTGCTTGATTTTGCGGCGCGTCCCCGAGCGTCCAAACTTGTTTGGGCGCGAACCGTATCTCGCAACGAATCTCGCCGGCCTCACCGGCCCTCTTTGCTTTGACCGACGCTACCGTCCGCTCGACTGGCCGATGAAGAGCGACCCGTACGACGCGCACTTGTCGTCCTCCCTCCTCGCCACATGACGGCCGCCCTCCGACACCGACAGTCGCGCTCCGCACGCCTTCGAGGTCAGCTGCGGCCGAGCGACGATCGGCTCGCTCCGATCGCTGGGCGCGGTCACTCTCCGGCCCATCACCCGCCTGCCGATCACCTGTCCGCCTCGCCGCGCGCGGGCCGCTCGCCTGCTCGCCACCGCCGCCGCGCGTCCCCGCGCCGCCACGCTTCCCTGTGCACCTGACCGCGCTCGAGCTGCGCACAGACGGCGCGCTCTGGCAGACAGAGCAGCGGCCGCCCAGGCGGTCGCTGCTCCGCCCCGTCCGAATCCGTCCGCCCGCGCGTGCCGCTGCCGCCGCCGCCGCCGCCGCCACCGCCGCCGCGTTTCCCCGCGCCGCCACGCGTCCTCGCACCTGACCGCGCTCGAGCTGCGCAGGCAGACGGCGCGCTCTGGCAGACAGAGCAGCGGCCGCCCAGGCAGTCGCTGCTCCGCCCCGTCCGAATCCGTCCGCCCGCGCGTGCTGCTGCCGCCGCCGCCACCGCTCCACCCGGTGCCCGTGTGCCGTGAGAGTTGCTTTGTGCATGTGTATGGGTGTGGACACTTATATGTCACACTTGAGCCTCTACCTATGATAGTAGACCGGTACTCGGGTTTGGATGGTAGCGGGGGGCCCCGCCGGAGGCTGGTTACTGATCTTTTCCCAAAGTTCAGGCCATCTTCCGGAAGAGTGCCGATGAGGAAGGAGGGAGGGAAAGGGTCTGGGGAAAGGGCGTAACAAGGGCGCCGTAAAGGAGGGGCCCAAGGGCGAGAGAGGGAAAAGAAAACAAACCTAGTGATAAGGCAGCCCAAGCTTGAGATGGGCGGTCTTCATCTCTTCATTTGCCGGGGCCCATTCCTCTTGACGCGCCCGCGCGCCCCCGGCACTGCGCGCCCCCGGCACTGCATCGCGCTACATGGGCTCGCGGCAGAAGCGACGCTTCGAGGTCGAGCCCCCCTGTTCACGCGCGCGCGAGACGTGCAGACAGGGTGTTGTGTGTGTGAGCGTCGGGCCTTACTTATTGGATCCCGGCGCTCGGGGTCGTCTGGCAACGGCGGACCGGGAGCTCGAGACGCAGCTCTCGGGGCCAGCCAACCCAGGAGTCGATTTTAGGACCAATCACAACTACATTAGCATGAACAACGGGGACTCGGCGAGTGCCCACTCGGACGCGATGGACAAACATGTGCGGGGCGGATCATTAACGTCACGAGCCGGCACCGACGATCATGGCACCGACGATCATGGCACCGAGGGTACGGACCGTAAATCGAAATGTGGTACTCGAGTATAAGCGGGCAGCGAGGCCCTGAAAAGTTTGCCGCTGGCTAGGTCCTAGCAACCTACCCTTTAGGAGGGCAGGGAGATGGCCGAGAGCTGGTCTCGGGGCGCTTACCCCCTTACCAGTACCTGATATCGCGCAACAGAGTCACACGCCTCTGCTCACACCCACGGCGGACATCACATGCTGCTCGAGCAGATAGCGGAGTTCCGCTTTCGACGCCCTGCTAGAGCCACCGCCGGGCGCGTGTCCTGCTTTGT